GCACTACGCAATCGTTCCATCAAGCGACCTACGCTTGGAAACTGATGGACACCGCAAACCTTTAGCGTCATACAAATACACTAAACGGCTAAAGGCGAGTTACTAACAAGGGTGGATCACTCCCATGGGCAGATAAAATAAGGAATGTCTGAATAGCCTATGTTTCTGTAGGTCCCGACTCGAGCCTAAATGACTGTGACAAAGACACAAACACAGATTACGATGAATGTACAATATCGCACTGCTTACAAGCTTCATCCCTTGACAACTCAAAACAAATTTTTGAACGAGCCGCCACCGAGAAGTTTTGCGAAGCGATGATGCTCTTGTTAGAAGTCGAACCCAAGTTATCTGAAACGCCGCCGTTCTTGGCAAGATTTCGACGCTGCGGAACTTCGTCGATGTCCTCCTGTCGGATGCCCATCTGCTCCATTTGCTTCTGCCGCTTTTCGATCATGGATACGTAAGTACGAGGATCAGAAAGAGCTTCGACGATGCCTGAAAAAAAAAGCGGACACTTCAAGCTACAACGACAGGGCAGCAAATGACACCTACCAGGCGGATCAAACATACAACCTGCATCGATCCAAGAAACAATTGGCAATACCAAAAATTTAAATCTTTTTCACTACACTTGGATTTCGTATAGAACTTAGATTTGAAAAAATAATGGAATAAATGAAAGCTTGCTTCTCAACTTACGACAGAAAACCTACCGCAAAGTAAAGCCAAAGCTTTTGTTCGCGTCAAGGAAGGAAAGTAACGAACGCTGCCAAATACAGAGCAAAACGATATGGTCAAATATCATAAAGGATCACTGTTCAAACACAGTAACTCCAGAGAAAGTCAAAAGGGTTTAGACTAAATGTGGAAGGTACGTATTCTGGCGGAACCACGAAGGTAAATGTAAACGTTGTAGAAAGGAAGCAGGAAACTACAGGCATTGTGGCTAACTTCTTTACTTATCGCCTTCAAGAAGAAGGGCATTAGTGTATAATGGCATCGAAATGGATAATGGCACTTCACTACAAACTCCATGTAAGATGCGTGTCATAGTGATGAAAGGGAAGCCGCATCACAACTGTCACAGACTCTTAAACTTCCTAAACTATGCTGAACAGGGATATGCAAGCACCTGAAACGTATAAACAGCTCAATAATTCTAACAAAAAACAAAACATGGACAATGTGCCCAGCTAGGATGCGTTTTAGACGCTGACAACCTAACCCGTCATGGAATTCATTCGCTCAGTGATTCGTTTTCAGAGACAATTGTTCCTTTCAGATTTCGAGAATCAGCAGCACGTGCTTTTTTAACGAGGCAGGTCCTCCGACAACCGGCTAGGTTTGACTGTAATTGGACAACAAAGACACGTGGTCCGGATATATTCAATTAATTAAGCACTTTGAAAAGCTCCAAAAGGGTATCGATATCGGCCGTGTCATAATAACCACTTCGTTTTAGGGTCATTTCCAGTTTAACGAGTACGGCATGATCCAATATTCCAAATAACATGCGTGATATATCCTCAGGGGACGAATCCCTATCGTACGGTGCTACCCAGTGTCATATGCCGTGGTTTAACTGTGCATTGGTCTTTCAGTTTCGATCACGAAGCAAAGTCGCATAGTGAACTGATCCACATGTAGTAGTTGTTTTTCCAGCATAATGTTGATTAGAAGATCGAGATCCTTGTAAGGACTCAAGTCATCTGCAATATCATATTTCGATCTCTAACTCATCTGTGTTCCTCCGTCTTGATGATCTAATCTGCACAATCGGTAGCTTGCAATCGACATCAGGTAACAGACTTTACTGATCAAAGCTATAGCACAATTGTACAGTATTGGTATAACAAATCATTTTATAAAAACAGGCATATGCTAGTTGTTTCATTCTTTCACAGGTCCACAACCGACTGCTTATCGACCATACCTCTGATGCTCTAGTGACTGAGATCTTAGAAAGGTGCTACTATGATTCGTAAGTAACATCGCATGAAGACATTATGGAAAAAAGTCTACAAGACGGTTTTTTGCCAGCCAGTTCGCCGACTATTTGGAACAGATACCTCTAAGAGATCACTTTCTGCTTTCGTACTCGACCTGATTTTTTGTCCATCGCAACAGCAACGGTTTTCAGAGACCGGCCACAGTAAGATCAAAGAAATAGTAAACTACATGTCAGTACTGCAGCACCATTTCGCTCTCGCTTATCTTTAGTGACCTCGTTCCAGGTGGTCATTTTGTTCACGACTTAAAACAGTACAAGTTAGGTAGTGAATCAAATCGGTAGGCAGATGGATTCATAGCCACAAGACGAAGAGTTCAAATGGCAGACAAATCATTCGCCTCATGATTCTGAGGCAGCTACTCAGCAGAAAAGCGCAGGAATTTATACGGTATCCTGCATACCCTGATCAGAATACTGCTTTGAAGAAAAATATAGAGATTATCGCATCGTTATAAGATCCACGAAAGAGGGTTGCCAAGCTTGGCAATGGAATTGGAACTCGTAACAACTGCGACCTTCTCTTTTCGTTTCCTTCGCAACGCCCCAATTCCTCACGCAGAACTGGCACAGTGAAAAATCATAGCCCCAAAGTAAGAGGGGCAAATTCCAATGTAATCTATCCTCTGTAGCTACAGGATTATCAGTAAAACAAGTGGGCCTTGAGATGACAAGCCACCTATATAAATTTCTTCTATGCCTTCTTATAAAAAGAATATGCTGAATACAAGCCGGTATCGAAGGACATGAGGTTATCACTTCTGTTCTTTCATGAAGGAACCATGATAACTAACTGGAAGAACGACTGACGCCTGATATCAATAAGTTCATACCACACTCAACCATTTCTATCCAGAAATGATTACGCATGAAGATTATTTATGAGAAATTAAGCAAAACTGAACGTTGCGTCTTAACCTCTTGAGCAAAGGTAATGTCTCATGTTACTGTTTTTATGTTATCTCGTTACTGTCGTCATCAAAAACAAATCATGGTTGTATATCAGGGTTATCGGATAAGTCATTTCCTAAATTTGGCATTGTCGCCATAGCGATATCGTTACCACCACATCAACACAGGTACTACTCACACACCGCT